CTCCGTGTCCCGGTTACGCTGCTGAACGAGGGTGAGCTGTCCTAAAACGGTAAAAGCGCCACCGAGAGCTTTTACTGTGTGTGTTGCTGTCCGCTTTTAAGGGGAAATGAACAGCCCTCTGCTGCTAACAAAAATGGGCTGTTTAAAGGAAGTTCCGTTTTGGTGTCGGTTACTTTACCCCTTGCAAATTTCCCTTTAACTCTTTGAACCTACGTGACTTAATCAGTAAATTTCCCTTTAACTCTTTAAACCTACGTGACCTTATCAGTAAATTTCCCTTTAACTCTTTAAACCTGCGTGACTTAATTAGTAAATTTCCCTTTAACTCTTTAAACCTGCGTGACTTAACCACTAATCCAGGGAAAGCAACACAGACAGGTCCTCTTTTTTTTCTGAAGGATAAAAAAGCTCTTCGTTTTTTTATAGTCTACAGAAATGTGGTATCTCATCTGAAAACTTGGTCTGCTGTAAAGGAAAGCCAGCAAGTCGTTTAGTAGTTTAAACTGTAAAATAAGTTTAAGAATTTACTGGGAAAGTGCTCGTTGGCTTTCTGAAAAAKGTGCTGAATTGTCTCTGGACAGTTACAGTGTTTCCTAAAGTCTCATCGCCGTTGTAGCGGTCCATTGAAAGTGATGGGTGGATCAAATGCGTGAAACGTTGGAAGGAGTGAAAGGCATTTTAGTACGAACAAAACCTGTCTTGCCAATTGTAGATTCAGCTCGGTGGTGCCTAACCAAATGTGTGAACTGTTGGAAGGAGTGAGAGTCAYTAAATTTCGAATAAAACCTGTCTTTGTCGGTTGCAGATTCAGCTGTTCCATCTGAAAAAGTCTCGAAAGTGAAGCTGGAGGACCGAAGGGATGACTTCTGCTAAGGAAGAAGATGTCTGTAATCACGTAAAAGTGGTGGTCCGTGTCCGTCCAGAGACCCAGAAGGAAAAACACGGCAGCTTCAGCAGGGTTGTTCGTGTTATTGACCACCATGTGCTGGTCTTTGATCCAAAGGAGGAAGAAGTTAGCTTCTTTAAYGGCAAGAGACTGATCCATAGGGATATTAACAAAAGACAAAGGAAAGACCTTAAATTTATATTTGATGCCATTTTTGATGACAGTTCATCTCAGTTGGAAGTTTTTGAGCATACTACCAAAAATCTAATCGATGGYTTCCTAAATGGATATAACTGTACAGGTAACTTTGTTGTTTATCTTCTTTAATTAAAAACTTCAGTAAATTTCTCAAAGTTTCTACCATTGTATCCAAAGACTGCAGAGGTATTTAAAAAGCCTGAGACAGAAATAAAGCATTGTGTTTTAATTCATGGATATGAGARGCTGACTTTTTAGTATATGGAAGTTAGGATAGTTATACTCTATTTTGAAAAGAAGTTTGTGAGAAGGTTATAATAGACTTCAGAATTTTATCTGGAATATAATATAATGTGCTAATGAGAGTCCCCTAGAGTTATTCAAGCAGAAGCAGGTGTGTCACTGAGTGTGTGGTAACCTACTTTATGAACTTTATAAGAGCTTGGCTTTTTTGATTGGWATGTGGTGAGGAAATGAGAAGCCTGTCAACAATAAGTTTATGGTGTAGTGTTATGAGAGTAAGTAAATGATATTTTCATGTAAAATGTCAGTGAGTTCTGCACTGAAAGTTCAAAAATTATCAGCTCTCTGATTATAGATGCGAAAGATAAAGCCTAGGTAAGAAAATTGTTCAGTTTATGAAATGGTTGTGCAGAATGACAGAGGTCTGTGAATGTTCATTTGACTTTTCTGTTCCTCATTAGCATACAAACAAATTACATATTTTTGCTTTATTGGGTTTTGGTTTTTTTTTGTTGTTTTTTGAAAATTCAGTGCTTGCATATGGTGCAACAGGAGCTGGAAAGACTCATACGATGTTAGGTTCTCCTGAAGATCCTGGAGTMATGTATTTAACCATGATGACACTTTATAAACGGATGGATCAAATAAAAGAAGATAAAACATGTGATGTTGCGGTGTCTTATTTGGAGGTGAGCTTCTGCATTTGGTATGTTACTTTTAAGAAGTCATGTTTAACAAATAAATTCAAGCTGGTTTTGCTTTCCCTTTGTCCTTTTTTGGAGCTTGACAAAATAGGTCCTTATAGGAGTGGAGCTCTGTTGTGATCTGGAAACTTGGTCTTCCTAGGAACCTGTGACTGTTTTACTGTCCCAAAAAGGACAACCACTTCTAATAATTCACTGAATGTTCATGATTTRTGTCTTGCTGATCAGCTATATGCTTATGAACATCTGTTGATGTGTACAAGAAAGTATCGTTTCAGGGTAATACTTTAGCACTTCACAAAATCCTATTAGTGCTGTGAAAAAGCACAACAAAATGATGTTTTGTTTTTACAAGTGAATGTTTTGGCCCTGCTGCTGAACAGCAGTAGTAAAATGGTTTATCTTCTAGTTCCCTCAAAGTCTTAATGAACTRTAGTTGGTATTTGGGAGGGGTAAAAAGAGACAGGGAAAGTTTGCTTTGACAGACCAAGAAATAAGACATTTAAATATTGTAACAGAAATATGTTTGAACTAGAATCTTGCTCAAGATTGTGACATAATGCAGGAAAATAAATGCTTTAGATTCATGTTTGTTGCAAAACTGTTTTTAGTAAAAAGGCAATTTTTTCCATGAAGAGCAAAGATTATTTACTTGAAAGAATTACTTCAATGGCTAAAAAGAAATCAAGTGAATTKAATATTTTAAGCTCAGTATAGGAAAGATGTTTGAAAAATTGAAGCATAAATTCATTACTTTATCTTGAAGTATTTAAAAAGACTGGTGATTTCTGTTTAAGTTTGATTCTGTCAGGTATGGGAGGATATTTTAATAAAACAGCTTAAATTCCCTTTCCAAGATTTACAATGAACAGATACGTGATCTGCTGGTCAGCTCTGGACCTCTGGCTGTTCGTGAAGATGGCCAGCAAGGGGTGGTAGTTCAAGGTCTGACATTACATCAGGTATGTAAATAGAAACTTTAAAATGTGCTTGAGATAACTGAGAAAGGTTCCCATTGTTCCTAGAGTTGTATGGAATTTGATAATTGCCTAGTGGGCTTATTCCTGGTCATAACCACCAGTAACTTGCAAAGCTAATTAATGAGTCAAAAGCACATTGTGGAAATAAACTGCAAGCATTACTGAATGGAAATGGATAAAAGCATTCAGTCCTTTTTTTTGGCTTGATGCTCATCCAGCAGGTTTTGAGAGATTTATTTTTTGGCTAAAATATCTTGGCATTGCCTTAGTTGCTGTCTTGGAGTATTCTACACCACTGAAGTCTCATGGTTGTTTTTGTTGAAACTGAAAAATTGAAAAATTCCATGTTAAAATTACTGTTTCAGGCCAGCACAGCAATTCTTTGGTAAGGTCAGTGATAGAACTTAGTTTTCCAATCTGAAATTTAGTTCTTGTGGATCTAATTTCTCAATTTTTTAGTGTATTTTATATGCTGTGACAAGAAACAATTAGCTCTGTGAACATCCTCAACTAGCTCTGTGAACATCCTCCTTCCCAAACCTTGAGTCTTATGAGGAAAAAACTTTTCTTGTACTAATGCATTTAACAGTGATATACTAATTTAAGTCACACATTGTTAAATGAGGCCCATTCTAGCTATGGAGAACCTTTCAGATTTGTTKAAGTTCTTYACTAAAAAYAYTTTCTGATTTAAATTGCTGCAGTTAAGTGCTTGCTTTTCATACCTTTCTGCTTTTAACTGAGAATACTTGTTTGAAGTGCCTCAGTTTCAAAATAGGAAATTTCTCTGATTTCTAGGTAGCTAAATTTTTTTTAAGGTGAATTTTAATAATTTTTAGAATCAATACATTCCTATAGCTGACAGAAAAGAAAAACTGTATTTGTCTTTGTGCTCTACTCCTAAAGCCTAAATCAGCAGAGGAAATCCTTCAGATGCTGGATTATGGAAATAAAAATAGAACTCAGCATCCCACAGATGTGAATGCCTCTTCTTCCCGGTCCCATGCTGTATTTCAGGTAAGATGATATAGCCAATGTATGRTGGTCATTACTGTGAGTTGCAGTTTTGGTTTCTTTTTTTAAGTTGGGTACAATGGAAGCTTTTACTTTTAAACTGTGTTGAACCTTAGTTTGGAGAAGAGGGGATTAAAGTTTTCCAGTTAACTCTTCTTGTTGGCTCCTTATTGCTTAGAAGTATGTGATGGCTCTTAGTGTGTGTGCTGCTTTTAAAAAGGCTCAGGGTACAGTGTTACAGACAGATCAGAGAGTGAGCTGCTGATTTCTGTTTGCTTATTTGCTGCTCTGGGATGTCTTATCTCCCTCACCTTTACTCAGGAAAGAGCTCTGGATTTTATTACCTGGAAGGCTTTTTCTCAATACTTTTCTAAAAGTGGTGAGCAATTAAATAAATCACTTCAATTTCTCATGTATTTCCCCAAATCTGTGGCATTCTGCATAACATAACTACATCAATGTTTCAAGAGATGGAAGTGATGAGAAATCCCCAGTGCTGTCTTGATTGCTCTTTATTTTTAACTTTTCTATTATTGTAAGAGTTGCTTCTTTATAGAGATATGTTACTTTTGGCTTTACTTGTTAACTTTATTGGTGCAGGATATTTCCTGAAACTGACTCAGAAATTGCTAAGTTTTGGCCCAGGACATTCTGAGCTGATTTTAGAGATGCAAGTTTTGTCTAACTGTACCATCTGTCTTAGGTTTGAAATATCTATCTGGGTCAGGCAATTACTGCATCTGAGAMGAAAATCCAAATTGCCAAACTGCTCTATTGAAAGGGTTCTGCTGACTGACAAAGAAATAGAAAAGTTTCTGCTTTGGGGCATTTCCTGTATCTTTTGAATTTTTACAAAAGCTTGAGTCATACAACATGGTTTGGCTGTCACTCCACCTTTCCCTACTTTATTAATGATAGCTACCAGTTGTTCTGGCAGTGTGTTCCCAGCCTGAGGTTCTTTCTTTTTTTTTTTTTTTTTTTTAATTATACTGGAAATAATACAACAGAACTTGCTTGTACTGTTTCATATAGAAACATATCTATTTGAAATAGATACACATTTCATGGCAAGTCATTAGAATTTTATTCATTCACAATACTTGTAAATCTTTTTTCTCTTACGAGGTGCTGTGAACACTTAATTTCTCATGCACAAAACTTAAAGCTACAGATGTTGTGAGATTGTCTTTACTAGTCTGTCACCTTATATTCATGACAGCTCTTTCCTAATTCCAAATGTGTTCATGAAAGTGTCTGTAACCATTGGCCATATTAACAAATGGCATGGCACTCAGCAAAAAAGGACAAATACATAGAGAATCCTGGAAAAGTAAAAGCCACCTAAGGATAACTTTGATTCTTCCTGCTGGCTGTATATTGATGCTTTGCCTACTTCTTTATAAGCCTGAAGAGAGAATACCTTCACCAGGAGATGGATACAAAAGCATTTAGTGCTTTGTATATCTCCTGTGCTGTGAAAGTTTTAGGAAAGATGGGATTAAGGGGAGCAAGTGGCCTCAGGAGGCATCATATTTGAAAAGACCCTGGAGTGTATTTTCACAGCAGCAAAGCATGGTAGATACAATTAATGGTAGATATAATTAAGTCTAAATCACTGAAAGGCTAGCCTTTTTCCTTGTTTCTCCCTATACATGTCTTTATGGCATRCTCCTAAATGTGCATTGAAAAAAGGAGCACATCTTTCAATTTGAAGTTCAGTAGTGTGATATGTAGCTTAAGTGCAGAAGAATCAAGAGCTGTGAAATTCATTTTCCCTGTGAAAAACTTGCTTATCTTTGCTGCTGTGTGAGCCTGGGCCAATTGGTCACTTAATCCTCTACCTCAGTCAAACTCAGTGCAACTGTACTCTGCTTGTTCCCTTGCTAATACATGAAACAAGGGACTTTGAGAGGTGTCAGAAATAGATTCACTATTTTCCATTAGGCTAAACTGCCTGTTGACGTTAGATATGTACTAAAAGGTTTAACTGGSTTTATGAGAAGGATTCCAATACAAATATCTGAAAATGGTTGTTGCACAAAGAAATTAACTTACTGCTTAGATTGATTAATGGTTACTTTATAATTTTCTTTTTTTTTTTTTTAACCGTAGATTTACCTACGGCAGCAAGATAAAACAGCAAGTCTACATCAAAATATCCGTGTTGCCAAAATGTCTCTYGTTGACCTGGCAGGATCTGAACGTGCCAAGGCAACAAGTGCCAAGGGGGCTCGTTTTGTAGAAGGAACAAATATTAACCAGTCCCTGCTTGCTCTTGGAAATGTCATMAATGCATTGGCAGATCCAAAGGTATGTCCTGTTTTCCCATGCACTCTTTACCTCCTAGTGCTCTTTTCAAACCTTTTAAAAGCTGCTAAGGTGATGGAATAATGTGGTTTACATTGCTTATACATCATTATTCTTGTATAATATTGTCTTAAGGGTTTCCACCACTGTGTCTATGAAAGACAATCCCAATGAGAGAKAATTCTCAAATATGGTGTGCAGCTACCTAAGGATAGTGTCGAAGGTGAATGGTACCTGCTTTTCTTACCTACCTTCTTCAAAATGAAGTATGTAGAGAAGGTTGCATGAGAAAATGAATARCCTTACAATTAACTTTTAATCTTAGGGAAGGAGGCTTCTATAGGATAAAACAGCACTTATTCCAAGGGCTTTTTGGGATCTCACTTACATCCATATACAACACATCCCCTGCTCAAAGCAGTGAGTCAATCTCCTGACCTAGCTCACCAGCTCTAGGGAAGGAATAGGTACAGTTGTGTAGGGCAATGACAAAATCTCCTGAACTTTTGCATGAGTACAGCCAAGCCCATTTTCTACCATGACACTCCTTTTGTCCTTCTGCTTATGTAGCAAATTCCTTCTTCAAATATGCCAGGAGCAAATAATTTAATTTCCCTTCCTAATGCTGCTTGTCCATCATCAACTTGTTAGAATGGGAGATAGAGTTTAAAATCTGTACCATGGTCATAAATCAACATGGAGATACTTTCTTATCTGATGTGGGTTTGGGTTCCTAGTGACCAAACTTAGTGTCATGAAATGAAAATTCTATAGCTTCACAAAGCAGAGTTTCTGTTGCCTGGAAATGTTGTGGAATTTCCATCCTTGGAGATAATCAAAACCCAACTGGGCACAGTCATTGACATCATACTCTAGCTGACCCTKCTTTGAGCAAAGGGATTGAACTAGAGGGATTTTAGAGGTACTTCCCAATCTGSATGATTTTGTGAACTGAAAGTAGTTAAATGCAGTTTACTTTTTCTGTTAAGAAGTTTACTTTCTTTATCTTAAAAATAAGAGTTAGGTATCCAGACATCAGGAGGTAACCTAGCTAATACATGTGTTGTAAAAGTGTTGACCAGTTCCAACAGACTTAAACTGTTTAAGAGTGATAGGTAATTTTAAGAAAAACTAGTYATGTCAAAGAAAAGTTTCATGGCAGTTTGTCATGTTTTGTGTCACTGTTGAAATTGTAAGCAGACTTTTATTTAAAGTATGGTTATCTACACCATAAAAATATATATTATTCTTTTTAGGGCAAGAAACACATTCCGTATCGAAACAGCAAGCTKACTCGGTTACTGAAAGATTCTCTTGGAGGAAATTGCCGAACAATAATGATAGCTGCTATCAGCCCATCYTCTTTGTTCTATGATGATACCTACAACACCCTTAAATATGCAAACCGAGCAAAGGATATCAAGTCCTCTGTGAGTATATTGGTATTTAATTTACTTTTGACCAGAGATCAGTGATGTAGTATTAAAAGAAGGACARTTATTTCTTTCAGAATATTTTTCTTCCCTTTTGTCTCAAAATTTTGTGCAGTTATCTCATCTTTCTTTTCATGCAACTCTTCCTTATTTGAGGGTGTAGTAGATACTTAATAGATGCTAGATCTGGCCTGAAAGCAACATAGCTTCATTAATGAGATGATGCTGCCAGTTTGAAATAGTTTGTGTTGTGAGCATGAAATTTAAAAATAATCCTCAACTGGTAAAATTCACATCATTTCTTAGTATCTTACTATTACTTTCTCAGAGAACTGTAAAGTACATTAAAGAAATTTCAGACCAGTTGTACAAAAGCCAGTCCAGGTTTGTTACAGGTGGAATTCATCGAGAGTCAAAAGCTTAGTGAGATTGTATTGATAAATGAAARGCTGGAATTTCCTGTTTCTGCTTTTTATTGTCTTAATTTCATTTTTTACCATCTTTTATGTTGCAGCTCCTAATCCTTTTAATCTAAGACAGGGTTCACTGTAGTTTCTATTTGTCCCATACTTAAAGCTAATTTTTATAATTAAATGCACAAGACACACATTAAATAGTAAAATTAATCTGAATAAATGCAAAACATGCTTGCACATGTAAATGTAATTATTTTTATTGTTCTGTTGAGGGAAATGTCCTGGCCATGGATGTGCAGCAGATGACAGTAAAAGCTGAAAGTCATGTTCTTGTTATGCAAGTCAGGATTTTATTATTCTCTTTCCTTATAATAGAGTGTGCATCTAACTATGTAGTACTTATACACTGTGTTTAATATTCATAAAAACATCAAGGAGCCACCTTTTAAGTTCCAATTTGTTTCTTTACAGTTGAAGAGCAATGTTGTTAGTTTGGACCGTCACATAAGCCAGTACGTTAAAATTTGCAATGAACAAAGGAAAGAGGTATGTAAGAAGTCTCTTGTTAACAGGTTGAAAGTTTAAATGTTAACTTTGAATATAAAAAAAATAGTTTAAGATTGAATGTATAAGGCAATATTGTTCTAATGTACTTTGAAGTAAGAAAATTCTGTCCTCTGAGAAGAATATCACCTGCTGCCATTTGTAAAGGTGTTCAGCATGGGCTGTTCAGCATTAAAAAAACCCAAAACATATATTTCAGCTAAAAAGTGTCTCTTTTGGTTTAGATCYTGCTGTTGAGGGAGAAACTGAAAGAATATCAAGAAAAGCAAACAAGCATTCCTGAAAGTCCTTCTCCTAATGCTGCAGAACTTTCAARCAACCAGCAAGTGGAAATAGAAAGGTAAATGACTCACATCATGAGCTTGCTTCCAAGCTGCAGTTTGTCTAACTTGTAGGTTTGTTTTACAAATGCTTTTACTCTTTTCAATATTGGTCTCCTCATTTTAACATTCTTTTCTTAGATCTAGGTATGGCTTTGCCTAACATGTTGCTTCTTTTTTAGAACAACTTGGTGGTGGATTTAAAATGAAGGGGGGGAACGCAGGAAATGACATGTGACAGGAAGGAGCATATGAATTCTGGCTTCCAGCAAAGCTCCCTAACAGGTTGTGTTTGTGGGTAGGCAGAATGTAGTTTGCATAAATGACAGCAACTGTTGGCAGACATTAATTCAAGTGGGTATCTTTCCTGCAAGGTTTCAGAGAGACAAAACCTGGAAGTTCTTCTTTCTACAGAGAATTCAGTTTGTTTGTAGATTCCTTATTTTCTATTGCTTTAATATTTCTTGGCTTCTTTTTCTTCTTGGTAAAGTTCCTGTCTGTATTTTCTCATGTGTTAGACTCGTGAGAGCACAAAAATAACAAATTAAGTTGTGTAGTATGAATTTGTTGCAGAAGCTACTGCATTTCATGAAGAGKCTAGGTTTTGGAGTGAAAGTCCTTCTGGATGTGTCTCTGCATTTTTCATTTATTTCTGACCATTATTCACCTAAGTTGATTCAGCTAACTCTTTTTTTTAATTTGGCTCTTTGAATGTGTTATTTTTGAACCTGGAAAACTTTGAGGTGAAGTAAAGAAACATTCAAAGCAAAACATTCTGTAACTATGTTTTATTTTACTGGCGTTCCAGACATTTCAATAAACCCTTTCATTCAGGTTATTTAAATTTAATTTTCAAAAGAAGTGTGGGCTTCTAAGTCATGTTGCTAGTTCTGACAGTTTCCCTGCATATTTTTGCACTGTATGTCTTTAAGATTGATTTAATTTCCTGTGTTTTGACCTTTATTTCATTCTTTCTATGTGGGAAGAGTCAGACAAGGGCAAGGTCTCTAAAATATCTTTTGAAAAGGCTGGACATTTTCTACGCCAAGATTTGTTGGTTAGAGGGTGTTTGTTTGCATTTTATTGTTATGGAATATCCAAAGGGCCACGTGTAAGCCTGTCCCATTCCCTGTAGAGATCAGAAATCCTGTGGATGTCTCATTCCCTTYTTCCTCATTAATATCCTGCCATATTCATCATATTGATGATGTGGGTAATGAGTTGATTTTTCCCACACTGATTTATGGGTTTTGAGGGTATTGTGCTGCCTTCTCCTTTTTACTTGGGGCAGGGAAGAGACCCTTATCCATGATCTTGTATTTCAGTCCAACTACCCATGATTTTTGCTTTATCATAGAATCTTTTTAGGTTAGAAAACACCTCMAAGATCATAGAGTCCAACCAAAAACCTGTTATAGTTCCTTAAAGAAATAATACTCTAAATTCTGTGAGTGTTTTAGTACATATTTTTACCTAGATATGATGGCATTCTCTGGAGACTTAGGGAAAACCCTTGTATTTCTAAATCTGTGGAGAATAATMTTTTCTTAATTCTATTTCTTTTTAAAAGGAGAGTAATAAAACACTAGAATAAAAGAGTCAGTTATTAAAAACTTTAGACTGTGAAATAGAATTGCTACTTCTGAAACACTGGCAAGAATTCAATTACATGACAAGAATATCTCTTCAGCTTGTTCTGGAGTTGAACCTGGGTTTTTTTTAGCATTTTTACAGTTTTTAATTTTATGATCTTTTAATATGAAAAACTTTATAGCCTCAACTGTTGAACGTCTTTAGAACACTTGGATGTTAAACCCTGCTTTTATTTTTGTGTCAAGTTCTAACAACATAGGATGTTGTGAAATACTTTGTRTCCAAGGTTAGTCATTATTGACATATACTGTATATCTTTTTGGCCATTCTGTACTGAAGCATTTTCAGTATTCAGTGGTGAAGTGAAAAGGTACCACCAGTGACAGTTATACTGAAAATATATTTCATTTATTATATATATGAAAGTTGTACAACTACATCAGGGAAAGTGAGCAACTGAAAAAGTTTGTGGTTTGGTTTTTTTTTTTTTGAGGATAGCTAGTAGGTTTTTTGAAGGCCTTGTGTGTCTATGGCAACAGTAGTCTTATCTGTTTAATAAGTTGATTTAAGAAGTAGACAACGTAGGTATTTAGTATCTTTTGGAGGTAGAGAAAAACATCTGAAGATTCTTCATACAAATGTTTTCTTTAAAATCCCAGATTGTCTTTGTAAGTATGATGAAGTTTATTTTTAGTGACTCCTTCAAAATTTCATATCCCATTTTCAGTTCAAGTACATTAGGTCCTTACTGATATACTGACATTTTATTTATTTATTTTATAGTGTTCATATATAACAGGGTTTACTCCTTTCYTTTGAATTTCTTTATTTTATTAACTTGGAATTAAAAGTTCCCCAAAGTAAAGGAGATGGTTGTAAAAAGTCTTCAGTAAATAATTGTTTATTCTTATCATTTGGTTTTAGATATAAAGAAATCCTTAAAGATGTGTTTGCAAACCGTGAAGAAATCAGAAAAGAATACCTCAACGTGGAAAAGAAACTGAAAGAAAACACACTAAAGAGATATTACCAGAATCAATGTCATGAACAAATTCAACTGTTGTGCTCTGAAGAAAGAGTAGAAAAGGTGAGTTTTCTATAATGTAGTGCAGGGTATCATCTCTTCATTTTGATATACTTGTGTAAATTTTGCTTAAGTAATTGTGTAATGAGTTAATGCTTAAATATTTAATAAAAATGGGACACACAAATTATCACTTCTCCTTGACTATTGATGTAGTGACCTAATTKTTGAGGTAAACAGCAGGGTATAGTTATCTTCTGTACAGAAAGAGCATTCTTTGCCTTGTGAGTACACCACCTCATGCTTATCCAACTTGCTGTTGCTGGTTTTGTGCCTTTTTATTGTCATATTTCAGAARAAGTACAAACATCAGAAGAATTTGATGTTTGAAGATAGAGGATTTTCCTTTTGCCCAATGCTTTATCCTTTAGCAGCTTTTTCTAGGACACATTGCATAAAGAAAACAGATAAAAATGTTTCCTCATATTCATCTTTGAGTTACTAGGAATTATTTGGTTATGTTATATAAAGAAAAATCTTTATCTATAAAGAGAATGTGTTGAAGATAATTCGAAAGCTTCCACYTTAAATACTGATTATTTTGGGGGGGATTTTTTTTTTCTAAGGCCACTTGCAAGCGAGATCAAAGGATTGCAGCACTTAATGGCCACTATGTACGCATGCAGAAGAAAAAGGAAGAGGAGACCAATCTTTTTGAGGAAAATACCAAATGGCTGCACCGTGTTGAAAATGAAATGCGCCTTCTGGGTCAAGATGGCTGTATTCCAAAAGTAAAACTCCTTTCACTTGGAAGTGGTTGGGGATGGGGAGGAGAATTGGAAAAAGGGTAAAACCTCTGAGATAAGAACAGATTTAGTGTGGAAATAAAGTAAATTATATGGAGAGAGTATACAGAAAAAGAGGCAAACATATCTTTGGGCATACGTAGATAAGCATGTTGGATTCTTAATGCCAKTTGCAGCATACCCACTACTGGTCAAAAGAATCTACAAAGTTMTATTTATGCATGTAAATAAAAAATAATTCTTCCTTTTCTACCATAAAACTTAATTATAATATAGCTCCACTCCATCTTTATTTTTCAATATAGRCTGAACTATAATTTTTAAACTAAAAATAATGTTTGTCTCTATCAGTTTGATTTGCAGCTGTTAATTTTGGTTTTTATTTCTAATTTCCCAAAGGAACTTTGTCAAAATCTGCAGTATTGCCATTTAAACCTAGAAGTTCAGGACCTGAAAGCCCAGATTGAGCACATGTTATCTCTGGTGTCACTTCAAGACCAGTATTATAAGCAAACAGAAAAGTAAGTATGAATTCATGGCAGGTGTGCTAAGATTTACATTCTGACACTTGTAACTTCAGAAGACCTATTTAGAGAATTTATTGAAACAGAAGCAAGATTTTTTTCTCAAACTTTCTGTTTTCTGGCTTCAAATTTCTGGTTTTAAATAAGTTTTCTTAAGCAAATTTGTCTTGCCTCTTGCTGTTTTACAGAGTACTAAATACTTCACTTCCAGTTCTTCGCAAGCAATACCTGATTTTGAAAGAAGCTGGTTTGACAAATGACTTAAGTGAAACTGAATATGCAGAGGTTGAGCAGCTGATTCAAAGACAAAAATCAGTAGCTTGGGCAGACCAGACTGAGGAAAAGAAACAAAATCAAAACCATGAAGTAGAAATGTCAGCTATCTTCGCATTCCCACAGCTTATGAGCAGACAGAACACCCCATGCCGTAAGTATATTATAGAAATTAATTTCTCTTGTGCAGAATGTATACAACAAACTAATAAGAAAAAATCATAACTCAGAAAAAGTATATTAGCATGGGAAAATATGAAGTACTAYAAGGGCAGCATTCCAATCAGAAATGGGAAGGATGTTGTAATTTCTTTTTTTCTTTAAAGATGAAATAAATTATTCAAGAATCCAATTCCTGCTTCCTAAAGTTATCTCGGATGTATGTTTGGTAGATGTTAGCAAGAGCTGACCTCAGAACTTAGTGAGCAAATAAAAAGATTTTGTATAAATCCCCTTGCACCTTTGGTGCATTGTTATTTTATAATCTATAATTTGTTCAAGGTGTCGGGAAGGAAGTAGTGTTTTGCTTCAAGGTGGAAAAAAACCAAAAGAAACAAAAAACTAGAGTGGTCATTATTCCTTATATAAAAACCCATATTTCACACTTAATGTAATTGCATGGACTATATCTTGTCTTCAGGAAAGAGCAATACAGTTCAGTCCTTGTGATTTGGTTCTGATTTTTCTTTTGAGAGATGTAATTTTTTGAATCTCCTATTTAATATAAATATATCGTTGCATTGTGTTGGAAGTTGCTTTACTAAATAATTTAGGGGAGAAGGTGCAAAAGTTAGTTGGTGGCAATGCARTGATTTCCTCATATGAAATGTGAGTCTGGAGCTTCTAGGTGGAGGAAAAGAGTGTACCAGGTCTGTTAGTAACAAATCTCACATACTGCTTTTGAATCTATGTTAACACATTTGAAAGACAATTTTTTGAGGTAAAATCCCTCTGCAAAAATGAGATGGCAGTCATGGCATAAAACACAAAGCATTACAGGAAAATATTTGTTTCTCTTCATCATAAACTCATAAATAATTGGATCTCTTTTGTTGAAGTCAGAAGTATCTAGGGATGGATGCAGTATCTGTGCATTATCCATATTTGGAAGTTTGTTATTAACAAAGTACAAGTCCCTGTTTAGCTGCTCTGTGTTTCAATTGGTAATGATGCATCTGTATGCAAASACAGTGCTGAGTTCTGTGTGTTGCAGACCAAGAATCATTGCAGAAACTCTTTAATGACACTTAACTTTTGCCTTCAGTTGAGAGAACCATGACCATGTTCAAATGCAAATGAATTATGGGGTGTTTTCACATAAAAATTTGAAGTATTTAAGTCCCATAAATAACTTTTCTGATTATAAGCACTGTCTYCAGATGCTTAAAGCAGCTACATTTAGTAGCTGCTTCTGCAGAATAGATAAAACTACCAAAGCAGGACCTTAACTTCTTGTGTGTTTCTTTGGATTTGACTACATTTGCTAGCTGATCATGAAGAAGGAAGTTCAAACTAGTAATTGATGTGGAAAAGCAAAGGTGAAAGGGTAGGGAGSTTTATTCTAAGTTTGGTTGGAAGTCTTCTACAGAAATAAGTTGTTGGAATATAATTCTAAATGTTCTTACTTGGTTGTRTGAGGTGATTTTGATATTATCTTGTTATAAGATGCTTCTTCCTATCAGGAGTTTCAAAGCAGCAAAAAATTTCAGTCCATTTGCAGTAATGCCTAAATCTTTGTTTCTAATGAAGATTTCTTCCTGTGAAAGGTCTCTTGTATATTAGATARTATAAAGTTGAACTGTGGGAGGAAAATATATTCTCTGGCCATTCATTTAATATCTGTTTCTATGGTCGAGTTATCCACACAGTCAATTCTTGTGAAACAACTCTTGATTTCTAGTGAAAGCTAATTAAAGTTCATATGCTTTGCCAAGGCACATGTAGTGCTTCACTACAGGAGTTGACCTCCTTCTGTCTTGTTTTTCCTTTAGCCCTTGAAACCTTTAAACACCTTAAGTAAAATTCTGACTTCAATTATAAGTTAAAATAGTTGCTTTTTACAGAAAATGCTGGCTTTCCTATATCTTTTTTTGACACATACATTAAAAATTTAATTAATTAAAATTAGGCTTGTGTGTGCTTCATGTAATCATAAATGTGCAGTGTCATGAACAATTTAACTGTATCAAAGRAAGCACAAGCTATGAAAACAACTTCATTTAAAAATGTGTTTAGGTGCCCATTCTTAAGTGTTCATTAATGGGGAGCCATAGAGTATTTAGAATTCATGGGTGGAGAGCTTTGACTGGTACTTGCAAGTATTTCTGTGAATGGGGAAGTTCATGGCACTGTTCCAGGCATCCCATTTCCAGAAGCCTTACTGTACATTACCACGGAGAGAATGGAATTGATTTATAGGAAAAAAAGAGAAGGCAACCATTGCCTCCCCTTGTCACAAACATTCTCATATGAGAAGTCAATTTTTTTTTATTTTGTATGGCAGGAAAAACTGGGGTATAGTTTTATCTAGTAAAAGTACATAGTAAAAGACTTGATTAAAAGTAGGAAAAGCATATATCTTGTGTAGGAAGGATTTGTTTTATTGAGTAACTCTTTCATACTGTCCTATGTGATTTTTAAGTATATTTTCTCATGCTGTTTAAAACCATTCACCTGATTACTGGGACTTGCGAGAATGCAGTCTGGATTTTAGCCTTTTTCAGCTCACAGCTGTTGTTTGTGAACCTGTTGTGAAACTTGCCATGACAGTGCTGCCTTTGGGTCACAGGAATATTAAATAATTGAAATGCATTGACTAGASCTCATTTGCAATTTGGAATTCCATGAGTCAGTTGTTAAAAGAATGAAAACGTATGATTAGAATTGTAATTTGATCAATCAGTGGTAGCCCAGAAATGTTTATTGAAATGAATACATTAATATTTAATTTCACTTTAGCATCACAACCTGGTAGACTTAATTTAGCACAGTTTCCAGAAATAATCCCCTTATGCATGTATTAGCATGAGTTCTAGAAGATAAGTCTTGGCCATTTTTTTGTCTCAAATGTCAATTAGAACTAACTCAATTCATCAGAGTTGTTTTGTCATGAGCTCTGCTCACTTTTGCTGTGACTCATGTTTCACACATAGTGCGTTCTGCTTTTTGTGTTAATGCACAGRGCTGTAAATATCTGATATTGCCAGGTTTCTTGTCAGATAAATCAGTACTTTGGAGTAGTCTTAGGAGTTGGTTTTGGTCCTTAGTTTGTCTATCACTTGATGTGGGTTGTTGATAGGTGGATGATAGCTTTTATGTTTAATTTCTTAGTGAATCTCTTAAATAACATCTTAAAGAATTTTGACAATTTCCTTTTCTAAACATTAAGGATCAACAATATGTGATCTCTAAAGTATATATTTGGAATCATGTTTATTTTTAAAGAAAAATATTGTAGCTGAAGGTACTAGTTAAGGAAATACAACTTCAAAATTTCTTTTAAGCTACTTCATCAGGTTAACTGCAGCTGTTCTGTWAAGTATATAAGTGATTCATTTTTATATATTAAATAAAATATATTACTGAATTATGATGATCATATTGATGCAAAAGATTGAACTGGCTGTAAAACTTGAAGCAAATATAGACCATAAACATAATTTCCCTGCCTTATTATGGAGCAGGTTTGATTTTTTTTTTTTTAATAGTTGGAGCATGTTGTTTATCTTTCAGTAGGAATATAATGATTACCATTAGACATCCATTCAGGAACTATTTAGTTTTGGTTTTTAAGGCAATCTAAATAGCCCTTCTTTGTTCTCCACTGTATCATCTTCAGTACTGTGAATTTGAAAATTTGTGGAAGTAATGAAGTAGTGTTTCTGTAACAATTTGTATTGTCTGAGTCCCTTTTAAATAATCTTCTCAATTGTAGCTATTAAAAGCACTTGCAAAAAAAAATAGCTTCAGTATCTTGGTTCCTTAATAAGATGGAAATAGAAACACTGGCAGTTCTTTTTGTGGGTCCAAATGTTTTTCTTGCTCTATTTTTATTTACTTTAGATGATGATTGTTTGGAACTTTATACAGTAGAGCAACAGGCTAAAGTGGAATTGGGATTTTGGAGTTGTTTTTGTTGCATTATATTTGGTTTACGTTATTTAGTGGAGCCAAGTTAAATGTGATATTGCTGAGGATGCTTGTTTACCTGTTTGTTATGTTAGGTAGGACCAACCTTGTATTTTCACTAGGGAGGGAAAAATTCTTATGGGAAGGGATTAATATTTCTTAAATATTTTATATCATTTCCAACACTTTAACGGTAAGAAAAAACTTCTTATGTTTTAAYTTTGTTTTACAATGACTTTTATTCCAGAAATAGATTTTTAAAATAGATCTTTGTTTTTACTAACAGCTTGTATTTGCCTTGTATAGAATTCCTGCAACTATCATTATTAGTTTAGTTGTATTACAGTACAAAATGCTGTCCATTATGATGGAATTCATCAAATTATTTATGTTGGCAGTACTTTTGTGTTCTTTAKGTATTTAGTTAATGATTTAAATGCTAGCATTTACAGTTAATTTTAAAATGCTTCCAATATTTAGGCCTGTAGAAGCTTCTAAACCTTGGCACTCCCACCAAAATGTTTCTCCATCAGACTTCCTTCTAGTAACTTCAAGACATTAGCAAAACCTCAGTGTCTTACAGTAAGCAAACTTTSTGAAACTGAAACCTCCCCATCCTAATGTAACAACGGACTAATAGAATTCTAACCATTATTTTTCCTGAAACAGACATTCAGATGCATATAAGTAGGAATAAAACCTAATAAATGAATATTTTAAATGCGTCCTGAGGCGTTTAATGGATAGTTATTTCAAACACTAAATTATATAAACCTTATTCTTGTATTTAAGAATATGAGATGTCACTAGTCTTTTAAAAAAGGGCTTGGATTCAATTTTTGGTTGTGATGACTAGAATTTTGTTTTAGAGATTTACACTGAAGTATATATTGTACTCATTAAAACAAAATTAAAGAGCAGSCTTGTTCCCCACAGCTGATGTAGCAGGGTGACAGAATCCTAGTCACTTCTTTGCTTCCCCTGCTTTCTCATTTGCAGTGCCAGAGRATTTTGTCCCTCTTAGTAGTTCTGTGTCATTCCTTTTTTCAGCTCTCTCATTATTTTGCATGGTACTTGCTGGGAAAAAAATGACAGTGCTCAGGAGTCAGCTGTAGATTATAGTGATGGTAAACTCTTAAAATATAAGTTTTGTCCTGGTAATGCAAAAATTTTCAATACCCTTGCCCTTCCATTCCATTTTTTGGGATTATGTGCATAACCTCTGGGATTAACTATGCCAACCTATGCATGTTCATAGTATTTTGAGTGTCACAGAGCAAATACCTTTAGAAATGCTGCAATAGGAATAATTTAACTTATATGATCAAATTAATATGTGGATGGAATAAATTGTGTTTGTAATAATTTCTCTTAATGTCTCAGTAGGGGAGAGGAGGGAAAAGGCAAGATTTAGGTGGTATTTACATGTAGATGTGCTAACCACTGCTGCTTATGTTTCACAGGCACCTCTTCTAGTACACCATCACAAGAAATGAATAAAAACACACAACAAGTGTTAGAATCTACAGAACCACYACAGAAGAGAACTAGGAGGAAGCTGATGGACTCTCCAGTCACAGCAAGTTCCCCTGCCTTCAGCCAGTCCAGCCTGGAGGATTCTCTTGCCAAGGACGTCTGCCCTATCGTGTACACACCAGACTCTTGCAGAAAACCAGTACAAAACTTCTCTGCTCAGACTGTGGTCAAGAAGGCTTTGCACCTTGCAGGCCTGGAGGAAGCCAATCCCTGCAGCACAGACATAGCAGCCAGCAAGGGCAGTATCATGGATGTGACGTGTGATATAATCCCAGAGTGTGATGAAGGWGTCATGAACTCAACAGTCATTCTCTACGAGGGGACCGATGAAACGGCTGAAGTGCCTGCTTACTCATCTGTGAAAGASTCACAGCCATGCAGCAACAGCCTTGTGCCAAGGTACTTTCCTTTTATATGGGCAAGAAATATTACAAAATCATTTCATTGTATCTTTACAGCTGGGCTTTTCCATTTTTATCTGTTTTATAAATAAACCCAGCATCTTGAAAATCAAACKCTCCATTTTGATCAACATCAGATTCAATTCTGCCATTATTTGGAAGCAGTAGTATGTTAGTGACAACAAATTAAGTTGAAAGCTTATCCTGTTTTATAACATATGTACCWAAAAGGAAATACACTACTTTTGAAATTGATTGTGATGCCTCAGGCAAGTTATTTTCACTAAGTCTTGTTTCCTGTCTGTAAAATGGATATTTAACCTCTCCACATTGGGAAATGCCATGCTTGAAGCTGCTGTGTATGTCTGAAGTCTGCAAAGCTGCCTCAAGTAACATTAATTAAATTATTTTCTAGTTTTGGTTTTCAACTTAGCATATATTTGTTTACAGTTAAGAGCAAATTTGTTTGACTTTTACCAATAATATATTTTACAAAAATGTACTTCTTTTATTTCAGAGTTGATCTTTCTTCCTTAAGAACCAAAAATTCTGCTTCAGTATTTGAGAAGCGCTCATATATGGCAATGACKGCTGCTGCTGCAAGGAAAAGGAGGGTGCTAGGGTAAGTTAAAGTAACTCTTCTATGCAAAATTAGATTTCTTATTCTTACTTCAGTTTCAATATTCTGTTTCAAATCTGAAAACATACAAGTCATTTGGAGCTGCATATGACGTGTTCAGATTCAAATATGTTTTAATTCAATTGATTTTTTTGGTTGGTTGGGTTTTTTTTTTGTTTTGGTATGGTTTTTTGGTTTTTTTTTGCTTGTTTTTCCTGGCAACTTCAGTAGATTTTTTTTTAAAATCTTAGTTTAAGAATTTCTGTTTTAATAATTACAAACTAATATCATGTCCCGTGTAGCTGCCGTCTACCCAAAATAGAAAGATGRGGCATCATTTTGTAAAGAGAAATTTCATCAGATTTAAAGAACAAGTCTATAGATAGATCCTAGCATGTGGAAGAAACTTAAGCACCTTTTTATTTCCTTTAAAATAGAGAACTATCCTAGAAGGTCAGATTCACCTGATCTTCTGTCATGTTACTGTCCTAATTGTTATCAGCTACTGTTCTAAACTGTCTTGCTAGGATGAGGAATAAACTCTTTTGCTCTAAGATGAGAAAAGAGGCATTGCTCACAATTCCAAATAGCTGATTATGAATTTATGAATTTAGCAAAATAAATCACCTGCTCTCTGAAAKCAAGCTACTTTTTTTTCTAGATTCTCCCTAGGGAGACATGGKWATTTTTGGAGCCTGATTTATCTGGTCTTAAGATAAAAGTTCTCAGACAGGCTTTTGCAGTTGTTTTTTATTTTTAATAACCTCTACTAATTCCAAAACACACATATATATGAATATATATATATTAAAAGAAATATATATGTGTATRTATGCTTATTTCCTCCCAAAAGTCTAGCTCAATCTGCTCATCTTGTTCCTTTTGTATCTCAAACCTGTATTTCCCAGTTTCCAATTKAGAATTACACTACAGAAAAATCCCACAACTTTTATTCCTTTTATAGGGATCATTCTGCCTCTGTTAAGTTGTCTGTAGATTGAAATTCTTTATKGTTTTGTCTAGCAGTTGGTGATGARGAGAARGAATRAAAACACATTTGTGAAGGAGGAAAGGAACATGTTCTTACCTTTCAGAYATTGTCTTCATTCCATTCTCTTCTTTACTTTTTCCCTCTTTTCTCTCCCACACTTTTCYTGATTGAAGTGGTTTGCTCCAGTCATTCATCTCCTACTGATGTTAGGAAAAAAAAGATATACTTCTAATGTAGACAATATGACTGAAATTTAATTTGAAACCTATTTTGAGGATAAGGGGTAAGAGGCAAGTCATTCATAACAGAGAGACTATTTTACCAATTAACATTACTCTCTTATTGGCATGACTYCTCAGGAGTGGATTTTTAGGACTGGCACAAGGAAAATCTTAGTCTTTGCTGCTTGCTGTATATTTTCATTTAGGCAGAAAATTATTATTAAGAAAGTTAGTGTGAGTTAGGGGACTATAAAGTGGAAATAATACAATATTTATTACAGGAATAGGGAAAGCATAGGAACTTGGGACATAAATACCATTAGCTTGTTTATGAGGCTGTCTTGCAGAGTGGAACTGAGGAAGTTTGTGAGGCAATTGCAAAAGGGTGAGATTAGATTGGTTCATAATTTTCACTGTAGACCTTAAGTCCATCACATAAAATGCTATAGATAAAATATAGAGGTTTTGTTTTAATGAAKTTGAAGCTGTAACAGTTTTCTTGCAGCTTAGTTAAAAAGTATTGTCTGCTATGAAGCCACCCCCTCCAACTGTGTTGGAGGCTGTAGAAAAGTTATTGTAGCAATAAAAAAATGTGATTTGTCCAATAAACACAGCTTGGTCATTCCAAGGACTTTGTAACATGCCTTAAGATTATTTCTTAGTATAATTTATATGTGATGTCCATCAAACTGGTTTCTGTGGTTTCAAAAAAAAAAGTGTTAAAAGGCAGGAAAAAATGGCACAAGTGGCAACATTAGTTCTTATTTTCACAGTTGAAACATTCTTGTAAATTTATAAAAAGGAACAAGGGAAATAGTATCCATAGATATACATAATAAAGTCGTTTATTCTTTGCATTCTGTTATGATTCTATGAACGCTGAATAATATCACTGAAAGTATTTCTACATAGCAAGGCCTAAACTGCTGTAATAAGCTGAATGGTTATACTGAAAACAAACTCCTCTTTGGCAACTTTTCCAGTTCTACATCAAACACTGTGCTGGGCAGCCTGCAAGAACCAGTYTCTGCAAAACGCCTTCGACAGGACATCTCACTGAGCCAGGCAGCCTTGAGAGTACCCCAAGTGACTGGTGAGTGCCAAAACTGGAGTGGGACTGCAAAATCCCACTGCACTGGGAGCAGKGAGTGCACTGCAAGGGCAAAATTAKGATTGCTGCTCAATTTTTGTCAATTTGCTAGCAGGTATTGCTGTGATGGCACACATTGGTTTGAATAGGATATCCCTTTATTAAAAAATACATTCTGCTATTATCTAAACAAAATTCAGTASTACTTATTCAAGAGCAAGCATTACAATAGCAGAATAAACCAGAACCAAATCCATAAGAGGAAGAGTTATTTTCAGAATAAAAAAGATAAAACTTTCTCTAATGACACAGTGTTCATTTTCCAATGCTATTCTATAATAAGAAGGATTAATAACATTTTTACATATTTTTACATCTTTATATAGACCTCTGTGCCTTTTTAATAGCATTTCATATCARTTGAGGGTCTAATCATGGGACTTCCTAGGCAATTAAAACACAGGATTCCTGAGCTGAGAGTGATTAYGTTTTTGCATATTAAAATTAGGCTTTCAGTAAGGGAAAGAAATGTGTAAAAATTCTTAGAAATATTCTGAAAAGGAGGTCCATGTAAGCTCAATTCTACTTATGTTTATTGAATGAGTGTTTCCCTGTTTCTAATAACATTTCTTTCTTCACTAGGAATTAAAATGAAGAGCAGGAAGCAAGATCAGAATATGTCAAGAAACTTCGTTAGAAGCTTTTCTCAAGGAAATGTCCCACTGGATGTTAAATCAAGGACATCAAAAGATCTTTCACTTCATATTTCCAAGAAAAAAAATAGAATTTAGTTCTGAGTTCATCCATATTTCAAGGAGCAGTGATGGATAGCAAATGAGAATAGAGTGACTTGCGTTTTCCTCTTGTAAATWGTTTTGAAAGTTTTGTGATGGAAATGTTAGAAAAATGATTTTGACCCCTAAATTATTTTCRTTGGAGGAGCTTCCTTGTGTTAAGATTGTTTTTCATTTGGAAGCAAGTTAGGCAGATACYAACATTAGAACTAATGCTTAGCAGTTTTTTTTTTAGATTGTGAGCATCTATTGATGATACATGTAGTTCCAAGAGACAGAAAAATATKAACAAACATTTTTTCATCTTGCTAGTTTTTAATCTGTCACTTGGTTGTAAATGTTTCTGKTTTATTTTTTCATTTTAATTCAGTTGTAAATATGTCTTCATGCTAATTACTTCAAATAAATTTTTTATATTATTAAGAGCAATATAATATGAAATGTATTTCTAGCAAAGATGTTCCTTTYGTTCTTAGGAAAATTTTTTAAAGTAATTTTGACATATTGTTAGAAGTACATGTAGTTTATAATGATTAATATTCAGAGACAGAGGAATTTGTAAATAGTTATGCTGTAACCTTGACATCCTGCCCAGCCTTAGTGATGTGGTTTTAGTGTGTTTGGTCTGTGCAAATGCAAATGTGTGAATTTTTCCAGTGCAGGGAGAGCCAGAAAAGTCCACTGAGTTGTTTCAGTGGTGTCAGACAACTGTGCAGAGCAAGGAGCTTCCAACCTGACCCCTTCAGTAATCAGGAGTTATGCAGCATTTATTCTTGGCACATTGGAGGAGCATTTCTCAGAGGCTTCTGAAGAATGAGAACTGCCTGCAAAAGCTTTCAGGACCACTTGTGGAAGGAACAGACAATGTTGCAGAAGCTGTCTTCATTGGGGAAGTTCAAACAGGAAGAAATAATTTCTTAAGGARTAGGGGTTGCTTGTTAAAAATACTGAGACCAGAGAAATTGAATCCTCTTAATTGCATTTTAAAAGGAGTGTAGGTGATACAGTTGTGGTGAGCCTGGGATCATGCTGGTAGTGTAATGAGAGCTGAGAAAACATTGGCCATGGAAAAGGTTGGTTTGAAGCCTGAAAACTAGAACTGGGWCTTGTCCACATAGCAAAGTGATGTAATTTCAATAGAATGAAGRGGAGGGTCACTTTAATATCATAATGAATGACAAGATTTTGAGTTCATTTTAATTTATTATTTTGGTACCTGATACAGCTAAAGTGCTAAAGATCATCCTTGAGTTATGGGATTTTTTTCAAATTCCCAGTGTTTAATATAAAATGTGCACAGGGAGTTTCTATTGTTGATATCACATATTCAAGAGGCTTGTTGGGTTTTGCTTATAAATATTGTTTGTGGCATATAAGACACATAGATGTTCAGAGCAACCTTGAAAGGTTTTTAGACAAGCTTGTGCATGCACCATTTTGATATTCAGTCAAAACATAAAACKGATGAATCTAGTCTTTTTTAACCTGTTTTGCATACCCTTGAATGGAATTGGTTCAATTGCAGCAACATTTTTCAGGGAAAAAAAAAAATTGAGGAAATTAAATTCTGACATGAGAAATGAATGATTCAATCAGAARCTGATTATACATTTGTTAGCAAGGTGTGTATTTACCATTTATAACTAACATAAATGAAATGTTTCCAGAGATTGTAACAGATTGAAGTGGGATTTTTGTATTTCAGATTGCTCTTGAGTAACATTCTGCACTRTTAATTGTACATAACATTTGTTTTCTTCCATACTGTGTACACATCTAGACTTCATAAGCAGAAAGTGCTTCGCAGCACATTCCACACACCTTGGTGGCACAAAACTTTTCATACCTTTCCATTGCCTAATTTTTTTGTCAGATTGCCAGTTAGGTAGAAAGCAAAGTGTATTTGGGAAGCAGTGGAGATTGGAGATATGATACAGCCTGTTTCATTTTCTTGCCAATCTGCTCTGATTGCTACCTGCTGGCTTGTCTTTACAAACTAATTTAAATAATAGCATTTATCTATCAATTTATCTATCAATGAAGTACACATTTCATTGATTTCACTGTTGTACTATGCAGGGTTAAATCTCGTCAGTGGTGCAAGTGTGGGAAGGATGTAAAAGATTTTGTCCCACTGGGAAATTCTCACCAAAACATGCAAAGGCTGCAGTGTGTTGTTTGTACTTTTATTCATTTACTTGGTTATTGTCATTGCAGGACAGTGAATTTCTAGGAGTTATCTGAAGCACAGGCTTGGGAAGCTGTGAATTTTTGTCACTGGGGAAGGAATTTTGTACAGGAGAAAGAATGATACTGCTGTCGGTGAGGCTATGGAGCCATTTCTGATCTCTACATCTTCATTTTGCAAAACATTGATTTCATTACTAAGTACACACAAATAGCAAGCATTTTAGTGACTCCTTTAATTTAAGGAGTAACTACCTTTAGCTGTGCATGCAACCTGCACAGCTATGCTCCAGCATATTATGCCTTGTACGTGGGCATGTTGAAAGCCACTCAAATCAAAAATCACTTCTGTCTTTTTATAGAACTGTAACAACCTGATAATCAACAAAGACTTGTGCAAACTTGTATCTTGTAGGTTAGAAGTCAAAATCTGAATCTTTYGATATTGGATATAAAAATATGGGCTCTTTATATGAGAAAAACAAAAATAATTTTCAATTAAAGAATTTTAAAATCAGTTGGTAAAAGTGAAAGTTAGACAGGTGAATTATTTAATTATTAAAGGCTAGTGCTTAGTGGTTCAGTAAAAAAAGTAGACAAGGAAAAAAGGAGGAGCAAAAAGGAGTGATCCTAARTTGAACTGTAGGTGTTTTTAATGGCAAATATACCTACACAATGGAACAAGTTCCTTGTGTGTTTATCCAATCTCTGTCCTTGGAGCTGTCAAGAAAGAACTGGACAAAATTCTGTGTGACTTAATCAGTGTTGAAYTTGCTTTGAGCATTGAACTTTGAGGCTAAACTAGGTGAACCTTCCAAGCTTTCTTCCAACTTGAATCATTCTGTGATTCAAAAGAAAGAATTGYCTCAAACTGAAGATCAAATAGAAGATATTTTGTAGACAATTTTTGTAAGGAGTATTAATAGAGCTATGACTGTACAGTGTACTCCACTCATATGTCCAAAATCTTCTAGAAGATAGCTCATGGTAATTATTAAGGAAATTAAACTGCTTTTGAAGAAAGGTGGGGGAGATCTGTGTATGAGTTAATTTGTAGTTCAGAAGCTAAAAATCAAAAGGAATACAAATTCAGTTTTTAGAACAGATGAAACAATAGTGGTGCAGTCCAGGTAAGTGTGCCGGATTCACAGTTTATTCACAAATTATTTCAAGAAGGGGTTCTAAGTTAAAATGCTAAAAATTATTGAAACTGAGTTATTCAGTTAGCTGAAGCAAAAACTAACTATGAAGATTTGGAGGAGCAGTTGCTGAAGGACAGGGCAATAAAATAACAAATGAGAATGTCAATGAACACAAAATAGTACMCAAGAAGGAAAACAGCCCAAACTGTACACGTATGGCCATGGAGTCTCAAATAGATATTATTATTACTCAGGAAAGAGACCTTGGAGTTATTGTAAAAAAGCTGTGAAAACATCGTCTCTGCAGTCAAAACAGAAAAATGAATAGAGAACACACCATTGTGTAAGTTCCTTGCCTGAATCTGGGTGTTGTCCTACACATTTCAAATAAATGTCGTTGAATAATAAAGGGTATAAAGATGGATGAGAGGAGCAATTAAAGCAGTGAAGAGCCTGAATAACAGTCATGTAGTTCTGGAGCACTTCAGGCTGGAAAGCAGGTGATTGAGGAGCTATGACTAAGGCGTGTGAAATAACGAGTCATGGAGAAAAGGACTAGGCAACAATTATTCACTGTMTCTTACTGTATGAAAGCTAAATGGCAGGTTCAAAACACATGAAATTTCTTCCCTGTGTAGCTTATTTGAYGACAAGGTCTGGAATTTAAAATGTGGTGGGTGTCAGAGTTCAAAAGTGATTACACAAATCTGTGGAAGAAATGGTTTGGGGAGCTGTTGAAYACATAGGTGCTCAGAGCAGTGAGCATGCAGGGAGGCGGGAGGGTATTCTCAATGTTTTTTGCATATTTGGTTCTGATTTTTCCTTTAGCATCTGCTAARAGGTGTCAGTAAAGAGAGGAGACAGGGCTTACAGGACTTTGAGCTTTAGTTTTCTACGTTGAGTTTTTCCTCAATATCTTAAGTGCTTAATGCCAAGAGGATGACCTTCCTGACATCCTGTGCAGTCAACAGAGAAAAAGAGGGTGAAAGAGATTCTCTTCTAATTCAGAATGGCCAGCTGGCTTGAATTTTTTTGGCAATTCACTCATCTGGCAAGTAAATCTTGTTCCTCGAGGTCGTTCARGTTTGGCACTTGGGTATCTTCTCGCAATATACTGTGTAAATTTGTCATAATTTACCTTAATCTATTCTTCGTTACAAATTCTGGCCTTTTAGCCTATTTTGGGCATCTGTTTGAGGCTTGAAGTCTTAGATGAGAGTCTSCCCTAGTAAAGGTCCATGAACCATAATGGGCACCAAGGGTTACATTCTGATCTCAGCAGGGTCATGGCTTCATGCAAATTACAAATTCCTGCCATGGAGAACGATAGAAAAAACTACTGAAACAAACTGAAACAACCCCCAAACCAAAAAAAAACCAACCAAAATCCAAATGTATTCCAATATTGCTACAAAAGTTGGAAATAGTGATTTTCATCTTGCATCATGATCTTATTGCAGAGTCTGGCTTTGCTTTTTCATCTGGTTCACGGTTTGTCTTCCCTCCAGCTGACCTTTAAATCATGCATTTATTTGCTAGTCTTCCTAACATTCTGTGACACTTCTGCTCTTGTTCACATAGAAGAGAAAATACATGCTGAGCAATCCAAAAGATACAGGGAGATTAATTTTATGATTGCTTTAGAATATTTCATTTGAGACTCATGGAGACATTAAAGATTAAGAAATTTTTAAGCACTGAAGATGCCAGTGGAAAGCTCTARAAGCTGTATTGCCTTCACACAATTCATACATCCAAAAATTAAAGGTTCTATGGAAACTCACTGAAATATGTACTGAATATGATAAAATATACTGAAATTACAGAATATTTTCCTAATGAATCAATTCCCATTCCTTAGTCCCTGAGCTAAGACTTTTCAGAGATGATCAGAATCCTCATGTGTGATAATTTGTGTCTCTAACTCTTCCTCTTTGCACACAGGCATCTTCCCTAGTCTCCAGTTTAAGCAGRTAAAATTGATACTTTCATTCAATATCCAGCCCTTTTGATAGAATTGCTTTAGTCATGATCTGGAGTCATTCAGTGAAGAGGATAGAGCTCTACACAAAATCACTTCTCATATAAGATGGAAGAAATCTTGTGAAAGACACAAAGGAAAGGAAGAAAAATGTTTTGATTCTTTTAATGAAATGGGCCCACCATTCACAACAAACTTTTTCAAGTCCTTCCACTCTGAGTGCTTTTATTGAGACAACTAAAGCTTGACATCCAATAATGTTGAATCTGTGCAACATTTTTGCATTCACAGCAGCAACTGGTGGAATCAGGCTCTTTGCTCTGAACATATAAAAAGGCTTAAAAAAAAACCTTAGCTTTTGGAAAACTCAGAACCTTAGGCTTTCAGAATTGGCAAACAAAATTAGCTGACACTCTGAACATTTTGGCTTTTATCTTAAATATTCTGTTCCCCTTGTGTGAAATTGTGATAAAAATAACCTCYAACTTCAAAAGGGTGTTGGGAGGATCAGTTCATTAATGTTTTCAAAGAATTCAGATGCTGTAGTGAAATCACCATACAAAATCCCATAAGGAAATTAATAATTCTGTATTCATTGTAGGCTTTGGGTTATGGTAAGTCAATAACACATAAGATTATACACTGCATCAGAGGGGTATCAAAAGGATATTTTTTTCAGTAGTTTTCCCTTCTGTGAGTGCTGTCCACTCAGGGCAGTGTGTCAGGAGCAGTACAGAAAGAAATTCAAAGCTATGGGGAAAATGGACACTCAGAGACACATTCCCATTGCAGGCAGCCTTAAAAATGTCAGTTTGATGTGGCAAACATTCTCTTAGAATAAAATTTATCTAGTGCCGTTAATATGAGTTTCCATGTAACTGAACCATATTTGTTTAATCATCCACTGAGAGAATCCTGTTGATACAGTTTAAAAACAGCCCTACACTTTTTGAACCTAACACATCATATTTCAAGTACATTTCAGAGAGTTTTACACAGCACACAGCGATTGCAAGGCATGAAGGTTTCTGGAAATTACATGGCAAATGTATTGTAATTGCTGTCATGAACCTGAGGATGCCATTAAATCAGATAATCTGGGGATTTACAGATTTGGCAACACCAAACCTCTTTGAAAAAAAA